ACATTACACACACATATATATATATTATAAGCTTAAAAATCTCAGAAGGCACAAGGCTCAGAATAGTTTGATTCCACTATACTTTTAGTACAAGGATGGAGGAATTAACAACACCCTATAAGAGGGTGTTGGCATCAATTTTAAAGTCACACATATAGGATACCCACTAGAATTGTTTGTTATAACCTGGTGTCCATTCATACCATTATGAAGCACAAATATCCATATGGATCTTCTGGTATGTGCCATGTGCACAGAATCAAGATCAAATTAATTTTTTTTCTACATAGTAAATTCACTGTGGGATAGGGTTGACTCTTTCTCAGGACATGTTTAACACTCATATTGATATTTAGAGATCTTTCCCCATCAATCTGAACATATTTATGGCCAACTAAATTGACAAAACTTGCCCGCGAGCACTATGAGGTGAGAATTAGGGTTTCAGACCACTTTGCGTCACCTTGGAATGATTGATATTTTGAGAGATTATTTCAATGTTACAACACATATATGGGCCTTCCTTGATGTTTAAAGATCATTTCCCTTATATTTTGACCTGACATGATAAAGACATAACTATGCCATGAATGTGGGGTAGAAATGCTAGGAAACTGGCATGACCGGGAATAGTCACACCAGCCTTTAGAAAATGCAGGCTTAAGAGCTTTTGGCCTGGCATAACCATGCCATGTTTGGGTGTGGTTGCGCTGAGCCAACATCTTCCATAGGCAAAATTATTGACTTTTTGACTCCCCATTGTTAGTAGCTAGCCTAATAGCCACGATTGATTTAAGGGGTAAAATAAGGACGCTCCATGCGACATCCAACTCTAAAATGACCACTCACATCACGTAATGTGGATAGTGGCCATAAGTTGACATTTGGGAGCCAATTTTCCCTCCCATTTGCCTAAATCCATGTGTAGTAAGGGATGGGACAAAATTTCATTAGGGGAAGAGGAGTTTATTTAGCTTGGAAGGGCTTGCTTGAGTTGAGGAGAACTTGGAGAGCCACATCCTTCCTCTTCCTCTTCTTCTTACTCCACTTTATTTCCTTTATCAAGCCCCCCATCCTCTACATCATTTCTAAAAGAAGACTATATTCAAAGAAAGAGGAGAGCTCCATTCACTTTGGAGAAGGAGGAAGGAGCAAACATCCCCTTCCATAATGAGAGCTTCCTTTTGACAAGGCTTCTGTTGACCTCAAACATCTCTCCTACCACAAGGAGAGCACCTTCCTTGCATTGATGAAGGAGTTTAGAGCTTGAAGCCTCATCATTTCTCTTACGGGAGGAAAGCTTTATCCCCTCAAAGTCATGTTGGAGCGGGATTTGCAGGAGCAAAGGAAATGCACCCGCAATCACCGCGTTGGTGAGATCCTGTGAAACTCTTGCACTTTCTTTTCTAGCCAGGCCGAGGTCTATGCTAGAGAATGTTAGGATTATGTTTGTTACTCTAGAGAAAGCCCTTAAGTTAGGAAAGATTTTGTGGAGAAATCCGTAATAAATTTGAGATATTTCCCTTGCAAAACCCTTAGACCTAGACCTAAGTGGTTGGAATCCAAATTTTCCCTGGCTTTGGTGTTTCCAACCTTCCCTGAAGGGGTTGAAATATTTGGATTTTGCGGAATAAAAAAAACTTTGTAGCTAGTCAATTCTACAAAATTGTGGGGAGTTGTAGGATGGGGAAATTTTTGTAGCTAGTCCATTCAACAATTCGTTGAGTGTTTCCCTTCTAAAAATCAGGAATACAAAACTCCCCATATCCTTCGCCAAAGTCAGAGGCGACTATGCTACACACACATACTTCTAAACTTAGGCTTCCAAGTGAGTACGCTAGATTAAGTGCAGATCACTACTTTGCATGTTCATTGTATTACACTAATGCTCTATCATGATACTTGTTTTGTGTGATGCATATTGCAAGTATCGTTTTGGGTTTGATCGGCTACCATGGTTTAGTCGACGTACCATTTGGTGTCAACTAGCCTCCCTGGCCCAGTACACATGGCACATTGGCTTGACCAACAACCCCAATAGAGTTGGCCTTCCACATTGGCTCAACTGGCTGAGCTGAAATTTTCAGCCTTGCACATTAGCTCTAGTGGCCGCCTCGACACGATCTGCATTGCAGCTGGGTTTGATCAGTCGTCTCGGTCCAGTCAACCATTCACTTGGGTTCAACCAACTGCATATGCAT